GCCATTATGCTCATTTTCAGTTCATCATCTTCCATCCAACCAAGCAACATTCCAAGCAGAGAAATGATTTCCTCAAAATATGAATTACAAGTGACATATGATGTACCAAAAACAAATATTGTGAGATCATAAAAATGACCTAGGCAATAATCTTCTAGTATTAGCCCAATCTTATTGAGTAGGTAAACCTATCCACTCATCATCAATTCCTCTATCACTTGACTCTATCTCCTTCTTAAAATTATCATCATCAATCACCAGATTATCAAATGCTCCTTCAAACTTACAAGCTGTATCCAACATGAGAAATGTTAAATTCCAGCGAGTTGGAACATCAAGAGACAAAGAGGCCTTACTCTGATTTCCATCTTCAGCTACACACTCATTGAATTTCTACCACCTAGCAGGAGATTGCCTAACATACTAATAGCTATACGGATCCTATATATACATATCCCTGTATAGCATAAACCATCTCCCACAATTAAATTCACTATCTGCACAAGACATCTCATGTGAATATACTTACATCCCATTACACTACTCTTCCACTTCCCTACTTTCTTTTGCAAATTCCCAACAACCGTGTCATTAAAAGATGCATTATCAACAGTGATGGTGAAAACACCAGTTATTCCCTATTCATTCAAGCATTTCTCTACACCTGCAGCTATCTTCTCCCCTTTATGACTAGCTATTGGACACAAATTCAAGACATGCTTCTTCAATTTCCAATCATTGTCAATAAAATGTGCAGTGAGACTCATATAGTTGATTCTTTGGACTGATGTCCATGTGTCAGTTGTGAGACACACTCTTTGACTGTTGGACTTGATAAATTCCTTTAGATTTTTTTTCATCTAAATAGAATTGTAAACAGTCCCTAGAAATCGTCCATCTAGAGGGAACCTTAAACTTAGGACACGCAACGGACATAAACTTCCTAAAGCTATAACCCTCTACAAACCTAAAAGGTAGTTCATCTACAATTACCATGCATGACAAAGCTTTTCTACAAGCTTCCTGATCAAACCTATAAGTAGAGAGACTACTATTTCCATCATCATCCTCCCCATAAATCAATTCAGTTTGCTTATACTCATCCAACCTACGATTCTGAAGGCATTTCTTAAGCTGAGATAACATACCTGAGGTTCCATTTTTCTTGGGATCTGCTTTGAATTCTTGGCCACATCTTTTGTACTTTCGAATTCGAGTGCCACTGGCACTCTCAATCTTGTTGAAGTAGTCCTACACCTTGGAACGATCCTTCCCGGATAGCACAATCGTCTTCCCTTGTTCACCAGTTGCAGTTTGGGCTCCGCTTTGCTGATTCGAGGTGTGAGCAGTGTCTGTTTACTCTCTTGTCTCTAATGTATTGTTGAACAAAAGCAAAAAAAGAGTTAATAACTACTCTAAATAATTGAAACCTTTACACAAACTAAATAAACTAAATAATTGCAATTTAAAAGCAAAGAAATACAGCTCACCTTGATGCAGGCAGTGGCATTGGCAACCTAGGCAGATCAACATCCATCATCGCCACTACATCACGACCATTTGTTGCCGAAGATGCAGCAGAGCTCTCCACAACAGATTGACTGGCACCAGCAACACTGTCCATCTACAGAAACAAAACAAAATCGAAACAAACAGTTAGCAACTTAGCACCAACAATTAAGCACTTAAAATTGCACTAATTATACTAGAATTTGAATAATACACTTACCTGACTGATCAATTGTAAGAAAATAGTTGGAATTTGGCCAATTAGGGTTTTGATTTTGATTTTGGGAGATTAGGGTTCCTCGAGAATTGGGGGGTTTGGGTTGGACACAATGGGGATTGATTGTAATGTTGATAGGATGGAGGGGAAGTGGGATTCGGCTGGTTGCTTCACCGTCGCCGCTGTCACGTGCAACTTAAAGGGCTTTTAAGTCTCGTACTTTTGGTGTTTGGGGATTTAAGCGATTAAAGGCCGATTCAAAGAAAGAAAAGAGGAAATAGGCTGATTGTAGGCTGATTGCAGGCTAAACTAAAGGCTTGTTTCACCGTCGCTGCCGTGAAGCGTGATGAATTGGTGGGTGGGTCTGTCGTCTGTGTGAAGAGAAGACAGAATCGGGAGAGAGGAAGAGAAGAGAATAGAGGAGAGAGGAGAGAATAGAGGAGAGAGGAGAGAATAGAGGAAAGAGGGAAGAATTAGGGATTGTTAGCCGGTTAGGGTTTCATTCATGGGTTGGGTTTTTTTTTCTTATTTGTTGGGTCTGACATTGGGTCTAATTCATGGGCTTGGGTTGATGGGCTGTGTGTATTAGGGGTGTCTGGCCTGTGTCGGTACGGAAATGCCGTTAACCGACGGTATCATTTGCTTCTTACCACTCAGCTTCGACTTCCTTAACAGCACGGCATATCGGTGGGGGTGGCTCTAAAATCCTGCGAATTTCGTACCGATACCGTTGGTTTTCGGCCAGTATCAGCACGGTTCATTCAGCACGGTTATTTTGCTCACCCCTACTCACAGGTTCGCAGATGACTATAAGCAACATGACTTCTGAGAGTGAGAACTCTTGTTGGGGAAGATTTGGGAAGTGAAAACTCTACCACAGGTGATTGTGAATCAATGAGAATAGTTGAACCTAGTGATTCAGATAACGAGCCTTTTAACTCTTCAAAGAACGCCCCAAAAAAGGGTACCATCCAACGAGTTTCAGCCCCTTGCCTGGTGTCGTCAACCAATTCTAAAATTTTGAGGAACTTTTGTCATTCGATAATCGGACGATTCAGCGGGTATTGGTTCTAGCGTAAGGAGTGTCTGTGAAGGATTTATACCAGGAGGCGAGGCTGACGAGCTCATTTTTTGTCCATTCCCCCTTCATATATACGTGGTCAATCTTTGAGGACACCTTTGATTTATTTATGTTGTGTTTGTATATTTACATGAACTTTGATGATGTTGTGAGACATAGATGATGAGTTCGATTAGCTCTATGCCCAGGTGTGTAACGACACTGATGATTTGGATGCTGCCCTGAATATTTCGTGATAAAGCAATGTGAGTCTCGCCCTTGGCCCAAGTGGCCTTGTTTCTCCCCTGGAACTTGCCGTTCGGGCTTCTAGTAAGGCGTCTTCCATTTGAGCTACACTTTAGCAGTGCATGAGAGAAGAGCGCCTGCTACGGTGGCAGGTGCAAGAGTGGAATCTTCCACCACAAGTGAGGCTTGAGGCTTTACCTTTTAAGGGGTCATGGATTACCCCGAGACTGTAGAGCTTTTTCTGTAGTCAATGCCCTTGTCTACTTCTGCAGAGGACCACAGTTATCCCACCTCAAGAAATTGAGAACAATTGATTGCTTGCATTTCCTAAGTAAGTATCTTAGACAGATCTTTGGTGATGAGTGTATTTTTCCATCTTTACTTAGTGTGTGATTGCCACTATTGGCAGGCGGCAGCTGCTACCCAGGAGTTAGAATAGGCCTACTGTAGGCATGTACCACTAGACATCAAGATGTCTGAGTTGCCTTCCCCCCTCCTTCTAAAATCTTCATTTCTTGGAGTTTTGAGCCGAAATTTTGTACACACACTAGAAAAAATCCAATCTAACTACATGTAAAATTTCAGAATTTTCTAAGAAGTGGAAGTGTGACTTTTTATTTTTGGAACAATTAAAATCTTGTAAATGGGAGAAAATGGAAAAGCACCTCAATTGAGCTCAAAATTGCCGGGGAAGGCATCCAAAAATCCTTATAAATCATCCCCATATTTGTAGAATCATCTTAGGTCAGAGTTGCATCGGTAGATTTGGAGATTGCTCGGGAGAATTGGTTCACCGGGCCAATTGGCGCGCCCAGTAGGCCAATTGGTGCGCCAATCGGTGCACTGGCACCCCAATTGCGCCCGGTGCGCCAATTGGCCAATTTTCGCCCCCAGTAGGCGAATTCGTGCGCCAAATGGCCAATTTCCACCCACAGTAGGCCAATAGGCCAATTTCCGTCCCTAGTAGGCCTATTGGTGTGCCAATGGGCCAATTTCCTCCCACACTATGCCAGTTGGTGCGTCAATAGGCCAATTCATGCCCACAGTAAGCCAATTGGTGCCCACAATAGGCCAATTCCAGCCACCAATAGGCCAATTCATGCCCACAGTAGGCCTATTAGTGCCCCCAATAGGCCAATTCACACCAACTGTAGGCCTATTGGTGCCCTTAATAGGCCAATTCATGCAAACTGTAGGCCTATTGGTGCTTCACTAGGGGGCCAATATTTTTAGGACTAGCTGACGTCTAATATGTTTGGATGAGGCAACTCGTTAGGTGGCTCAGTTAGAAAAGAAGGCGGCGTTTTCTACTCGAGAGGCTCACAAGCTTTTGGTTGAGATATCACAATTGTGGGCAGAGAATGCCCAGCTTAAATGTCAAGGAGCCATTCAGGCTAACAAGCTGAAGCATCTGGAGGTTACTTGGGAAGACCTTCGCACTTCTTTGCATCATGAGCGGGAGGAAAGGCAAAAGCTCTAGGTTGAGTGGATGTCAAGAATGTTCATCTTAGCAATGTTGAGGTGCAGCTGGGGAGCCTCCAAGAGCAGGTGGCTCAATTAGAGTCGTAGCTTGTCGAGGCTAAGCAAAGTGCATTCCGAGAGTATCGGAGTTTTGCAAGTTTGAGTAAGAAATGGTGGACTGTCCTCAACTCAGCCGCATATTTGGGTGGGGTGTGGTGGGATTTCATGGTTCAATCACTTCCGGAACTCAACTTGGATATGGCAGTAACTAGCTTTCCTCGTGCTGCTTATTTGCAAGGTGCTTTGCACGACGAAGAGAGGTGGCTAGCTTCTCTGGGAGGATCTTCATTTCTCACTCTAGCAATGGTTGCAACTTCTGATTTAGCTAGTGATAACGTAAAGAGTCCGTTCGGGGAGCAAGATGAACCGGAGTCTAGAGGGAAATATATCTATATTTCGAATAGATTATTGGATTGAAATCTATAAAATAAGGAATAAATATTGTGTTGCATTCAATAGGATTTAAACCTATACCAAAGGTTTAGAAAACCTCCGTCCTATCCACTAAACAATGTATGTTTTTCCATTCCAATTTTTTATTATTATCTTATACCTGTGAGGACCCAAACCAAAATTAATTGACCTCCTCACCTAATCCTTATTACATTAGTGGGTCAAATTTGGGTGTTCATAATACTATATTTTCATATCTATTCAGTATAAAAAAAATTGTGAGAAGCTTTCGGGAGGGCACATAGTAAGAAGCGACAGAGGTTCGTACTATGGTGCCATTTTAGGTGATTCTCCTCAAATAATTGCCCTTAAGTGGCAAGGGCAAACAAGAAATAGAAGAGAAGTTCAGATAGCATAGAGTAGCTTTCACTGGACCGCCTACTTTTGTAGTGATTGATTGCTCAATACACGTTGCATTTTTTAATTTCAGAAGCGTCATTCTATTACTCTCGAACAAAAATGACAAAAGAGAGAATGAGGGAGGAGCTTTATTTATTTATATGCCTCAAGCCAACTCGACGCTTGTACCCTTGGCTTCGTATTCAACTTGATTGTTTGATGCCATCCACGCCAAACGGACTGAGGACTCAGAGCACATTTTTCTCCGGGCTAAATCAAAATCCCAGTGCAACTTTCTATCCTTTGTCGATGATCCATCGACATAGATGTTCCTGACTCGCTATAGGGAGGCACTAATAGGTGCTCCCTCTTGGACGAAGTCGGCGAGTACTTGCTATTCAATGGGAATCTGGGGTGGAAACTTGATATTGAATAGGCTCAGCTCCAAGGCCCAACTCGTCAGTCTTCCAGACACCTTGGGTTTATGCAACACCTTGCGGATAGGCTGGTTTGTGTATGCCGTGATACTGGTATGTCCCTAGAAGTAGTTACGAAGCTTGGGCGAGGCAACTACCACAGCATACGCAGCTCTTTCGGCACGGAGTTTCTGGACTCGAGAAAAAAAATGGGAGGCAAGAGAAGATACAAAACTTTACAAAGAAAAAAAAAAAAATGAACCAAGGCTATGAAAGACATAAAAAGCGTATTACTGTACAAGCACAACAAGATTTACAAAATTTCCAGCAGAGAAGTTTTTTATTGAACTGCTAGTCTCTGGAGATGATCCATGAAAACCTCAAAGCTCACATCATCCGGAGCATCGGAGTTGTAAGTAGCAGAAGGGTTCAGTTTGGCCAAAAGGAACCTTGCTGTGCCAAAATTAAACGTTTATTTAATTCTCGTCATCAAACAAAAGAGAGATACATTTATCAAATAAAGTTGAACTGAACAAGTTGAAACACGCTTAACCAAATGAACCAGAGGAAGCCATTGCGCCTGCAACTTGAGAGAGAACATTTTGTCCCAATACCAAATATGATGTAAATGAAACTCTTTCCGATGATCCATGGCATAAAATTCAAATGTTTTGACTTTAAACTCATGGGGTTCGCAGGTTGGGGGAAAGAGAGAGAGAGAGAGACAGAGCAATGAAACAGAACCTATGAAGAGAGTTTTCAGAAAACTAGCAACTAGAAATTAGCTAAGCATTTGCATTTTAGGAGTGAGCTCCTAGGTAGGTGCAAAAATCCATTAGAACAAATTTAATTCTCAACTTAGGTAGACAGAATTATTTTCTTGTCTTACTTTGCAAGATAAATAACATAACAAACAGATAATGGGCAGTTGTGCAGGTAACAGATAACGACTAAAAAATAATAACTGTGCATGCATGATGCAGGTAATGGGTATAGATTGGTCTTGGGTGGACACAAACTGCAGAATCCATTCTCATACACACAGGGGCGAGGCACAGTGCAACATCTATCTTTAAAGGAAGAACATAAGAAAAGTTGCCTGTGTAGTTGCCGGTCCAGCAACCCATCTTCTTGAGAGGGTTGTTACGCGAAGTCTCATTTGACCAGTGTTAATTATGCTGGTAGCTGTTATAAGGCATAAGAAATAAGTCAGAGGTCTATCCATCTTCTCCCAGTTGAACAAGGCCAATGACATAACATGCAAGGAGCACATACTAAGTCAAAAATTGGAAGTAAAATTGAGTGCAAGAGGATTGAATAGTATCTGGGCTGTCCTCTTTCAGAATTTCAAATATTAGACACAAAGACGTAGCTTTGTCAAGTCCGCACATTTTCCAAGCACTGGTATTTCCCTGTCCTACAACTGTGTCTGAGCACAAAGGACCTTTCTGCAGAAAGCCATAATTTAGCAAACAAAAGAAATGCCAACAGGAAGTGAGGAAATATTTGGATTAGCTTGACTATACCTTTTCAAGAGATGCATAAGGACCGATGATGCCTTGAACTTTAATCTCTTTTGAGCAATTTATCTCAAATATACCACTGCATTCATGATATGAAAAAAGAAGACTTTTCAGGTTGTTCCAAAGTATCTCCAAGGGATATTACCGTAAAATAAAGACAGATATCTCGCGATTCCATCCAGCTTCGAGATGCAATAGACCACAAAAATATATGCAGGGTTGTACAAAGTTCAAAAATGTTGAAAGATAAACAGTATGTGCAGACATAAAAGGGCATAACATGATTAGATGCTTATTAGTTAGGTATAACTGCATTGTCTTAGAGCTATCCATTACAGGGACCCTTGCTGCCAAAAAACCTTCGGATTAATAATCAATCCACCGACCCTCCTCAGAGTCACCCAAACCCACTAAAACCCCTAAATCCCAACTTTAGAATAGCCCTCCCTTCCCAGGAAAAAACCATCATGTACATGTTCAGCATGTAACAGAAATTCATGAAGAAAAACGTGAAGTCAGTCTATTAAGATTTCATTTTATGTACTGTCACAAACTGCATCATGCCTTTTTCCGGCTCCTTTATTGAACTACTGTCTACCTTTATATCCAGATAGTTGTTTGTTTACAGTAGCACAGGAAATTGCACAGGTGGTGCAAAAATCCAGATCTGCAAAGAGATGATTTCCAAAACATAGAGGACCAATATATCAATGGTTCCCAATCTCTTCAAATGTCTAACGCAAGTATACACCTGAAAAAAGGAGCAAAAAAGTACTTGGAACACTATTTCTAAAACCAAAAGATAAGGCCCTTGTCGTTCATAAAAATATTAAAGTTGATCCCAGCCCAATCAACCAAGTTAGAGCACAGATAGCTTTATTTCTACAGCACTTAAGCCCTTGTAAACCTCTCACGACACTCCAAGGTAATTGAAAGAAGATACTCGAGAGACTATAATCTCCAAAGAAACAGACAAATAATTAAGCAAGATGTACTAATAATTCTGTGATACAAGACAACAGAAGAAAACTCCTAGGTTGTAGTTTAAGGTTC